CTCGGAGTCGGGTCCGGTGAGTTCGTTCACCGATACTCGGAGTCGGGTTCGGCGAGTTTGTTCACCGATACTCGGAATCGGGTCCGGTGAGTTCGTTCCTATCAGATGTCGAGTTCATCGAACAAAGATTGCACCCACGCTCTCAAACGCTCGAAAAGGTTGCGCGGACACCGTGCATCAGCAGCGTATCAGCGGGACGGGGGCGTATCCCACCAGGACGCGGGGTCGCTACAGTACTGCCCTCTTATACATCAGTGTGAGCCATAAGAAATGTGCGAAGCGATGTGTGCAATGAAAGATGTTGCACACTATCATGCAATTCATGTTTCCGCCCTTTTAGTTTACGGATATGATAAGCGAATGACTTCGCGCGGCCGATTTAGGTATCAGCATGAGCGGCACCTGTTGACCGCCTATCAGGCGCTGCACCGCTGCTGAACCGGCGCTCGGCTATCTTATCGCAGTTGAAGGCTGTCTAGGCCCGTGCTGCCTTCGCCAGCATTGTCCCACGCCGCCGCCGATGGTTCAGCCGACGCTGCTCCCGCACGCAACGGCTGACCTTGGTCACGTGACCAGCCATGGCGAAGCCTGTGCGGGTCACTGACCTGCTGGTGCTGCTGCTGTTGCTCTGCCCATATGGAGGTAAGGAGAGAGAGAGAGAGAGAGAGAGAGAGAGAGAGAGAGAGAGAGAGAGAGAGAGAGAGAGAGAGAGAGAGAGAGAGAGAGAGAGAGAGAGAGAGAGAGAGAGAGACGAGTTGGGAGGTGTAGGCGTGGGTTTTGTAAAGTCAAATAATAGATGGAATGTCACGCTTCCAAGCAGTGAACTACGTTTTGAGGCGCAAATCTGATCAATGTTCCGAGTAAACAACACCAAAAATCTGGTAAACATGGTTCTGTAAGATGGCATACATAGCGAATAAGGAATGCAGATTACCATGCAGAAAAATCGTCAAATGATTGTTTCGTAACAAAATGGGATTTTGGCTCGAAAAACGCAAGGTGGAGATAGTTTGACTGATCCTGCAAGGGGTGTCGCGGTTTAACATCGATTTAGCGTGAGGTGATGAGCCGATCGGAATGACCTAACCTACCCCCCATGCCCGATTTGTTTCCGGATTTTGGCCACTTTGATTTGAGTCCCTGATGTCCCTAACTTTTAAGAAAAGTAGTTCATAAATTTCAAACTTTTTCTGCGGAAAGTCAACTTCCCATTGTCAAACTAAGCGAGGCTGTTTTTGTGACAAGCCCAGAATGGGTGTAATTCACCAAATAAGACATGACAGTAACTTGAATCTTTGTGAGCAACAAAAATAGGTGTCGTTCTCGTCCATCGAAGGTGGTCAAAGGAGCAAAAGATGGTTTTATGCAGAACGGCGCGGTCTGTCACGTACAGAAGAGAGCCTACGGAACATTTTTAAGTTCACCTCCGCGATTTACCTAAACATAAAAGTAAAACTTGTCATGTACGACCTTCTTAATAAACATGTCGATGACACAGGACGGAGTACGTCACGACTTCTGATAGTTCTTAAGAGTGGTCGTTCTAAAATATCGCTGCCAACGCTTAGACAAGTGACGGAACTTTTATATGCGCGAGCAAGTTCTCAAATTTTGGTATAATGAGATGGTAGCTCTGTCGTTCTGTAGTTCTAGGTACGAGATGGTAGTTTAGAATCTCTCAGTATAATGAGATGGGAGTTCTCATGCTGAAGATAATAAACATTCATTACAACGGAACGTTACAATTAAGAGAGCCTCTGTCGGACCTTTGGCGCCTTCTTCAAAAGCACTGCGGTGATGAAACCTCGGAACCAGTAGCGTCTCATAAAAGCGCTGGAAAATGCCATTGCAGCCCGTCAAGATGTAATGAGGGGGTTAATTTTAAACGGAGTTTGCCACATCTGCATGGGACTTTCAGTAAAAAATCCATATTGAAGATCATTCGGTGCAGTTTACAGCCGTGGCCATCTTAAGACTCAAACCTTTCTAGTTTCTGAGCTTCACGCCAGCGAAGGTGTGCAGTGTTTTTTAAGTAGAGTATACCAAGCTCACTTCGGCATTCATGACATCATTATGACGTCATTCAAATCCTGTCATTTCATAAGCCACGCGGGGATCAAGGCAAATAAAAACATAATGGTCTGGTGGCTCATACCTGGTGTTCGTGAACACGACTTCAAAAAATGCAATGGCCGTCAATTGGCTCTGAATTGAGGTAGTGCAAGGTATCATGACGTAATCAAGCAATGACGTTTTGAGGGGCATAATAAACAAACAGAAATATCGTGTGGTGAAGAGCAGTCTGTTCTGCTTAAAAGTATACCAATATTCTTAAATGATCTTGTTTGATCACATTTGATGATTGCTTCAATATATTCACGTGAAACGTTTCCTTTATGGGTAGGGTTCCGCATTTGTACGTGACGGCGAAAGTTCGGAAGGGTGGGTAAATTTTAACAACCGTTAAAAGTGACTAGTTGTATTTTTGATTGCGATCACCTTGAGAGAATTTGAGAAAAACCAACAGCAAAGTGACGCAAACAATGTTTCCATGCGGAAGATGAGTCCCAAACGCCATTCTTCTAGCCGCTCATCAAAAGTTAGGCGAAACCTACAAAAAAACCTACTGAAACCTACTGAAAAACACGTATGTCCTCTGCGTGCAAAGATGGGGCGTTCGAGAAAAAGAAAACCGAAATAAGTGAACCTAATGCCGAACCTTGACAGAAAGGCACCAATGTTGTTGGTGAGCGGCCGTGATAGCACCCCGCGTCCGGATCCAGCACTCAGGAACGCACACTCTGCGTGTAGTTCAGTGGGCTCGTGGGCGTGTAGCCCGTGGGTGTGTAGCTCAGTGGGCTCGTGGGCGCGTAGCTCGTGGGGGTGTAGCTCAGAAATTAGACGGACTTAGGTTTTAAGAAGGGCAGGATTGTGAACAGCACGGAAAGGTCTTCAGATGGCCATTTCAGTCCAAAAATACATGTAAGTGTGGAGCACTCCCTTTAAGACTGCTTTGCCGAGGTTTCTCATTCGCATAACCTATCCCTCATGAACTTCATACTGTGGTACAACCCCAAGAATTACGTCCACGTCGACAAGGTAGCGATCCTTCAAAAGCACAAGGGCACGTGCAGGCTTAAGATAGAGCGCATTCCCGTGGGCTGTCGACCAGGCAGTCGACCACCTGCAGCAGGCTCAGCTGTTTGGCATACTGGACCGTCAGGGGACCCGCCTGGAGCATCTTGCTGTCACGCTTTGCCGGGCGCGGGATCATTGATGACTGCCGCCGTCGCTGATCGTGTTTTGTCGTTCAGTTGGCATTCGAATACCACCACAGTCACGACTGTGCGCCATATTAACCTGCTAATGTTGAGGGCAACGTGGAGCAAGTTTTGATTTAGCCGCCCCGTGCTTTAATTTTTTAGCATTTTTCAGTCAATTGATTTTTTACTTCAATCCAGGCGTTATCATCCGAAAAACATTTGTTAGATATTTGCAGACTGACCTAAAAGATGGAGATGTTGGCATGACATAAATATTAGACACCTATGGGACACTATATGGTACGAAATGGGCCTTATGCTAACAGTGATGTTTCTAGGTCCCTTCTACCTAGTGTAACAGTAGTTGAAATAATTTAGTTGCACTTCTTTTTCCCAGTATTCCTCACTTACTCAGATGCATTGAGGAGACTAAAAGGAGCATAGGGGAGGGGGGGGGGGGAGTCAGGGCAGCATTGGGGGAAGGGGGCTTAAGCCCCACTCTTGAAGTTTCTGGTGTGACGCCCCACGATCTTGCCCTCCTTTGGTCTCAATTTAGGACCCATGTAAGATCATGTTTAGGTACCGTATGGATCTTCTATATCCTTTATGTGGCATGTGCCTTATATCCTTAAATGTGCCAAATTGAAAGGTAAATTAGCAAGACAAAAAGCAAGCTCAGATGACATATTTTTAGATTTAATCCAAAGCCATCTGAATGGATGGATTCCTGGGATCAGAGCTCACACTGAGCAGTGCTTGCTGTGTGAGCCATGACGTCTATCGCACGATAGCTCAATTAAGGCTCAACGGCATGATTTAGTGGCGAGGGTTTAACGTGACGCAGTGCTCGGCACGATCCGTACTGCTCTCTGAAGCCGCCTAACATCTAGCGCTGCACGGCCGGTGCCACCGCCCGCAGGCAGTACCTGCCCAGAGCGAGCCGCGAGCGCCCTGAAGCGACTCGCCGCGAATGAAAAGATCGTGAGGCGTGCACTCTAACCAACGGGACCATCGGGACGCACAGCTAATGCAGCGATGTACAGTGGTGTCATTTCTGAGGTCTGATGGTTGGCTGCCTGTGTGATGATGAACTTTTAATCCAGATGTGATGCTAGTTTCAGCAGAAAAGAGTACAATGTCTGGTGTGACTGACACGATGAGAGCAACTATGAAATTACCCCAATTCAGAGAACGACAAATTTGCCATCGTCAGTGAGGGAATTGCCAGCCGTCAATTAACGTTATCCAGTTTCTGATGCAACGCTCAGTGTGACGTCATAATCTCTGACAGAATCAACGCAAGCAGCTGATTCGACCGAAAGGCGCTGCAGGCTCTTCAGTGGGCAGTTCAAGCCACCACCCAGGGTGCCTATGGTGCAGCGGTTAACGCGTCTGCGTTGACCATTGCTTGTCTGGGAAAGTAAAGATTCGGGGTTCGATTCTCCGCGGTGCCCGACTTTCCTGTCAGGGTCAGGGGCAGACGACGCCATACAGCCTTCGCAGCTGAGTGCGTCGTAAAGCACCAATAACACGCGACATGCTATGAGCCCATCAGGGTGTCCACACAGTGAAGAAGTTTGTGCAACGATGACATTCGACAATTAGCACCCTTACCTTGCCATTGCTGCATCTCAATTACCAACGTTGTCAAGTTCAACGTCAGTGTAGCTGACACCGTGGGGGATGACACGGGGATGCGCCCCTCACACACTTCAAAACTTGTGTGGGGGGGGGGGGCTGGTCCCTAAAACGGCAGATTCAAAATTATAGTTCCAGTGAAGCAATTAAAAATCAAAATGTTATACAGACTCCTAAACGTGCTTGATGCAGGGATTCCAACGCCGTAGAAATAGCAAACCTAAACCATGCGCGAATCCTGTCAATGGAAGCCTCCTCAACTGTAACCGCCAGAGCTCAGCACTCGCGAGTACCGTGGTTGTCAACGTTCGATTGACACTGCTCAGTTGCTCAGTTGACGTGTTTGCGAGCACAATTATTTATTACATCCGCCACACAGCGGATGACGCCCCACAAGGCACGCGCGAAAAGGCTTTCGAGGGTTTTCATGCGCATCAGAAATAAGAAGAGGCGACTGGATTTCCTCTTAAATGACACAAGGTAAATCAGTAGGTCATAAAAGGTTAACGTTAACCTGTTTTGAAAGTGTGCGTAACATACGAATGGGCCAATGAATCCGGACCTGGACATTGACTTCTGATCATTTTAAAGTGTGTGTACCATACGACCGGACCTACAACCCTGGACCTGTACCTCTTGATCCCTGACATGACGTAACCGCCGATCGATTTCTAACGATGCTAAAGCCCTTTCATTACTGCATACCTTCATATAGCTTGATGTACCTTTATACCTTTATATCTTTATACCTTCATACATTTATACCTTTTTAATTTATACGTTTATACTTTATACCCCTATACCCATATACATTCATACCTTATACTTTTTACCTTTATACCTTATACCTTTATACATCATACCTTTATACCGTTATGTCTTTACCTTTATACCTTTATATAACTTTGTATACATTTATATACCTTCATACATCTTGATGTACCTTTTCATTATAAGCCTTTTCATTACACATTTGAAAACTTGCGTGCTCGACTTTATCCGTGATTTAAAGTCCAGCAGTGCTATGGAATTAATTAAGCATGCTTATCCAACTTTTTAATCGTTTAAATGTTCTGTTTCTTCTTGTGCAGCGTAGTAGATGTTGATACAGATATGTGGGTCCAAAACCCATAGCAATGCACATACCACCCCTAGTACACTCCAACGGCACAGGTAATCGCGCTTTTTCTCAAATTCATCTTAAACTCATAACGGGCAAGGGGAAAAAAGCAATATACTGTATACACTTTATTTATAACATTAATGCAATTAACCAGCTCCATAAATTCTCCATTGAATACAGCGTGATGGAGAAAGCGCCATCTTCACATTAGCTTTTAACATTCAGTTTTGGAACTGGGCTCTGTCCAATGAAGGCCGATCTGGCGCTGTGTGGTCGTGTTGTATCAATGTTCAGTGCGTAACACCTGTCGCAATCCAATCTGGCATAGTGTGTCGTGCTGTATCGGTGTACAGTGCGTAGCGCCCGCCACGATCCTGCCGATCTGGCGCTGTGTGGTCGTGTTGTATCAGTGTTCAGTGCGTAACACCTGTCGCAATCCAATCTGGCATAGTGTGTCGTGCTGTATCAGTGTTCAATGCGTACCACCTGTCGCAATTCAATCTGGCATAGCGTGTCGTGCTGTATTGGTGTACAGTACCTAACGCCCGCCACGACCTTGCCAGTCTGGCACTGTGTGGTCGTGCCGTATATTTGCGCAGTGTAAGTGTAAGGGATGTCTGCTCCTGGATGTCTTGACTGTGAGGTGAAACCGCTGCCGCCTGGCCAGGCTTAAGCTAACGCCACTACCGCCGTTAGCAGTGGTGACCAGGAGTGTGCTTGCTGACCATGGCTGGCGCGTTCTTTTGATTTTAACGTATTGTCTGATTTAAACAATGGCCATGGCGCATATTATACGTCGTGGCTTATTGACATGAATGGAGAAGAAATATAGTGGTATAACTTTGTCGGCATGGCAAAGTCATAGGTCAGCAAGTTCACGTAGAAGACAACTAACACAGATATGCGGCGTGCAGCATAGTTCAGGCGAAGCAACCAACATTCAATATTTATGCGCCACATGGTCCTCACTGTTTCGTTTCGAGTAGTTTCATTAGGGCAAGCCGGTGAAATGACGTCGACCTGTTTCAGAGTCTCAGGATTGCGGACATGTGGATGATATTTTCGTCAACAACTGGCTCGAAACTGACCAGAAGACTATGAAGAGGGTGACCTGCGAGCACGCTAAAAGTAAGAGACCATGACGCAGCTGGAGGCTCTTTTCCCCGGGATCTTTTCCGGGAGGATCTTTTCCCCTGCAGGTAAAAGACGCATCACCGGTAGGATTTGGGGTACTCCTGATTAACAAGACCAACGGTATGCCTTTTAAAACACATCACAACTATTGTCCTTCGGAACTGTCCACAAGTCCGAATTGAAACTTTATCGATGAAGTAATTGACAGCACTGGGTTCATTCACTTTTGTCGAAGGGTCTTCAAACCAATTTGATGTCAGAGCTTCCAAATCCTGAACAGAACCTAGTTTCAACCAGGCTGGCAGTGAGGGCGCTAGTGGCCTCCGGGCGTGCGAGCCTCCGGGCCCGCCGCGCCGGCAGCACCGACCGCACGCGCCGGCGGCAGTGACCGCTGGTGGGGCCTGAGGTCGCTGCGAGCCCACGGGCCCGCCGCGCCGGCAGCAGTGACCGCCCGCGCCGGCAGCAATGACCACTAGTGGGGCCTGCAGTTGCTGCGAGCCTCCGGGCCCGCCGCGCCGGCAGCAGTGACCGGCCGCGCCGGCGGCAGTGACCGATGGTGGGTTTGTGTCGTCACACGGTCTCGAGCGTTTTCCAGTGTCATCACAAGTTTCCGTGGAGATATTTCTCAACCCGGACGTTATGCAAAGCTTCCAATGAAAAATCTATGGTCTCTGTCCGCAGGTCTGTCAGGTAAAGATGAAAACACATCTGCCAACTTGCACAGCGATAACGTGCGATTGTGGGTGACGATGGCGCAGTGGTTAACGCGTCTGCGTCTACCACGCACGTCTGGGAAACCAGAGGCACGGGGTTCGATTCTCCCCCCGCGCGTGCGCGCGCGCGCGCGCGTGTGTGTGTGTGTGTGTGTGTGTGTGTGTGTTGTGTGTTGTGTGTTGACGCTTACATTCCGAGCTTCTCAGCTAGCTGTGATTTTTATCGCGTGACCTTATGGGCCACGGTGTGCTTTTGAAACTACTTATGAAAAAAACACGTTTGTATGGGTTTGTTCATAATGTCGCTGCTAGACCAGCCGTCGTCTAGTCGTCCGTCTAGTCGTCCGTCTAGTCCTCCGTCTAGTCCCCGTCTAGTCCCCGTCTAGTCGTCCGTCTAGTCCTCCGTCTAGTCCTCCGTCTAGTCCTCCGTCTAGTCCTCCGTCTAGTCCCCGTAATAAGGTCACGGCGAGACAGCCAGACATACTTCGAGGGACTACGGATAACATATGCGGTTGTGATCTGTTGTTCCAGCTGTGACAATGACTGGCCAGAACGACACCGACCACTTCGATGCGTCCGAGTTCGTCAGTGTAAGCGTTGTCGACCCTCACAATGGCACCATCGAGTTTTTGCCGGGACCAAAACTGCGTGGTATACGGGACTATCCCAGCCCGGTAAGTAGCATTCTGGTGTAAAGCACTTGTGTCATGTGTCATGTACGGTGTCATGTACGGTGTCATGTGTCATCTCTTGTGTCATGTACGGTGACCTTCATGCCTGTTTGCACACAGTGCGTGCGATATTCAAGCCAATTTTGCGCTGAACAACTCACACTCACTACCTAATCAACTTGATCTTTTTATGGGTTCGCCCCGTCACCACCAATCTGAGCTCATTTCATCATATCTGATGCCTGCTCCATTATCTTCAAATGCGGGACATTCCCTTTAGAGCGCTCGCTATATGGGACACTGGGCCAGCTTCGTACCGGTGGTGGATGCCGTGCTGAGAGTCTGGTGATGCCGGAGGGCACGACGGACGAGCGCCGTAGCACGGACGATCAGTGCTGAGCATTACGGCTCGTCAAACATTTGTCACCAACTTCTGCCTTTGATCTGCAATTACACGATCGCATGGTGGGATCGGAACTCATGCAACAAGCACTGCTTGGTATGAGCTTTAATCCCACAGATGCATGTATTCAACAGGCTCAGACTAAATCTGCAAAAATTGTCGCGATAGAAATGTTGCCACCATTGCACTGTGAATGACTGTTCAATTTTGTTTTCAGAAAGCAAAGAATACGTTGCTCGGAAAATGTGTAGTGATCTGCGGTGGAGGGGTAAGTGGAAATATATGCTTACACGTGTTTTGAATGACGCTTATGGTTATTGGCAGGCATGGGATCTTGAGTGTATGGATGAGTGGAACTCCCGCTTGGTTTTTAAACCTGGCAGGACTGAAAATGTGTTTTCATTTCAGTTGACCTGATATTTGGATGCTTGCATGCATGCACGTGGGAAGCCGTGATGTAATTTCATCATTAATCGCTAAAATCTGCAGACGACTCAGCGATAGTTACCGTGTTACGAATGCGTCAAAGATGACTGGTTTAGGTAGGCCATTTTGTGGTGAATATTCATGAAATTCAAATTTTTTGAATTCGTAAATGAGTTGGTTTTATTTGATTCTACACATATGTTCTGATTCTTCAAATTCTTAAACTCAAATATATTCCTAGACTGCTGAATATCGTGACTTTATGTATTTTGGTCCGTATCATACACATCAGCACCACTCTGCACAGGCATCGACACAAAACCAGACAACTTGTACCATCAATTGAGCCTACACTTGAGGAAGAAATAACTCTGGGTTTGCTGCAGCTTTTAACGAGGCTCATCATTTGGCGCTTTACACACCATACGTTGCAATACCATGCTGTCATGTCTATGCTGTGCTTGCTGTGATGTGGCGATTACTGCAGCATTGAGCATCATGGTAGACTTTTTCGACACAGCGTTCGGTCAATGACCAGCCTGAGCTGTTTGTCAGCCGTGTTTGTGAAACGTCCACTGTTTCGAGCTAGGTTGCGAGCTCGATTGAGCTTAGATTAACGAAACAGGAGAAAACGATTTGCTAACCAGGCTTGGTCTACCGGCTGTTCTTCAGCATTGTTTGTAACATATCCATTGTTTCGAGCGAGGTCTTGAGCTAGACTAAGCCTAGTTAGTGAAATAGGAGAAAACAATTCGCTAATCTAGGCTTAGTCTACCGGCTGTTCGTCAGCCATGTTCGTAAAATATCCATTGTTTCGAGCGAGGTCTTGAGCTAGACTAAGCCTAGTTAATGAAATAGGAGAAAACAATCCGCTAACCTAGGCTTAGTCTACCGGCAGGAGCCGCAGTCGGACCAGAACTGACCTGCCCAGATCTCTTACCAAGCTAACGCGCGCCCTGGCGGTTTTCAGAGCACAACCTTCTCATTTACGGCAATTATCAAAGACGCCAACACAGCCCAGCCGGCGTTCTCGGCGCCATCGTACGCCCTCGAAGTGGTCGAGAATTACCCGATCGGCGTGCCCCTAACGCAGCTGACTTTCGAGGCCTCAGGTGCGTCAGGGAGCCAGTCCGTCAGTGTTGCAGGGTGTGCGGCTGTGTTTTGCTATTGATACAGACTATCGATTGCAGAATATCTGAAAGAGATTGCCATATTACCGGTGTGATATTACTAGCTTTACTTTGAAGCAAAGAGCTGCTGACAGTCCTCGAGTCACAAAGTACTCAGCGCCTGCTAAGCGGAAAGATCGTGGTCACAGGACAGCTACGTCATAGATTTGTTCTTTTTTCCCACTTTTTACGTATAATGCCATCCCATATTTACATTTTAATCCTACGACTTCCGTTCAGTTCTTTCAAGTGCAAAGCGGTGATTAGACTGGCTTAGAGTAAGTTCTCCGCCAGCCAGGTAGCTGTGGGATGCTGTGCGATACTTTCGAAGGCATTCTCAAGGACTGACGAGGATTTATCGCCCGAAAATCTGCTGATTCTCTTGTCCTTATGAGAGCTACATACCTCTTGATTCGGAATACTGACTAGCAGCTATCAAGTATGGTAGACCTGTTCCGAGTACAAATGGCAACGATGCATGATACTTGTCACATCTCGCAGGCGATGTCCCGGAGGACAGGTCTTTTTCAGAAGACCCTTTGAGCCAACTGAAACCTTTTTGAGTCCTTAAAATGTCCGGCGCTGATAT